TCAAAATTTCTAGAACATCTGAAAATTGTCCTTTATGGTATTATTTATTGGGTGTTAAGTTCCATGTCTTTCTTATTTCTAAGCAGCATTGAAAATAGACAATTATACAAGAAAAACAACAGAAATTTTATAATCTGGAAACTCTCAAACTTTTAAGGCATAAATAACATTTCCATAACCTAAGGGGCCCAAGTTAATACTCTGTATGCTAGTAGGCCTAAAACCTCCTCTCCCCAACCTTCGTACTTCCCCAGACCCCTTAAACCCATATTTGGGTCGCCGCCGTAATCACCGTCTCCGGCACCCTTACAAAGTCCAAACAATTCTCTAAATAGCTCTTATGCAATATTAACGCTCTGTAATCATGAGGTGCTTCAATGGATTTATCTCTCATTCTCTATCTCGCCGTTCCAGAACCATTTCCACATTTCATCAAACACGTAATGTGCATTCTCTCTATAGACGACTCCCTCAGTCCAAGATTCAAAATTTCTACAAAACCCATTTCTATAGTTCAAATTTCACAACGTCAGCTCAGGAATCAAAGCCGGCCCCACCAGAGAGAGTATCAGCGATAGTTGATGAGATTTCGGGTCTAACTTTGCTGGAAGTATCGGATTTAGGTGAGGTTTTGAGGACGAAAATGGGTATTGAAGAGATGCCTGTAATGGCAATGATGATGCCCGGAATGGGATTTAGTGCTGGAGGGATGAAAGGAAAGGGCGGGGCAGCTGCGGGAAAGGCAGAGGAGAAGGTGGAGAAGACTGTGTTTGAATTGAAACTTGAAGGGGGATTTGATGCCGGATCAAAAATCAAGATTATTAAGGAAGTAAGATCTTTTACTGATCTGGGACTCAAAGAGGCTAAGGATTTGGTGGAAAAGGCTCCGACTGTGTTGAAGAAAGGTGTTACGAAAGAGGAGGCTGAGAAAATCATTGAGAAGATGAAAGGGGTTGGAGCTAAAGTCACTATGGAGTGAGGTAATTGTTCATGTCATTCTAAATTAAAAAGCTGCTTATGAATTTGAATCAGTGGAATGCAATTCTTAATAATAGAGAATGAGCCAAGCTGGATAGATGCACAATATTTCTCACTGTTTTGTGTTGCTGTGATATAAAGACTATGAAATCAAAGATTTTCGGTTATTCTACAATTATAGGAACCCATGATAATTGTTTTGCAGAACGTATGATATTGTTGTATTTCCTGCTTTCATATGCTACATAACTCTGCTTTCTCACTATTTGGTCAGTTGATGCATTTTCTTTTTTTCAACTAACAATTTTGAAGCATGTCTATTCAATATCTTAATATCGGCCCATGAGCAAAATATAGTGAGCAGGTGAGCGCACTGAGTGGATTGCGTGTACTTTTAGCAATCTTTAGAATTTAATGAATTAGTTTAAACTTCTGGCTAAAACCTGTGTGGAAGCATAAGTTGGTAATCTTTGTTTACGATATGATACCTCGGTTTAGGTACAATATTTATTGTTATCAGGGTGGGAGAAAGTTGAGTTTACTAGAGTTGTGATCTTCTTTTCTTTTTAGTACGTTATGCATGAAGTGTGGATCGCCCTTGGCATGATATGCTGCCGGATGGAGGATTGTTGGATTTTCTGTGGTGTCTCTCAAAGTCTAAAAGGCTGATTAGAAAGCTTGGGTGGTCTGAAGCTCTTTTTAAATAAAAGTGCAGTTTGGTGCACTAAACTCCTGCAATGCATCTATTGCATCTGGTGAAGGACAGGAGCACATTGGGTTTATTTTAGGCTTCCTTTAACTTGCATTTCTACAATTTTATGTTTCCGCAGCTTGTACCCTTGACCTCCTTCTCACACGGCAACAACTCTTACCATTGCGCCAGTGCTCCCCTTTGGTCTAAAGCTCTGTTGCATGTCCCGCAAGCCTATTGTGAAGGCTAGGGATTCTTTAAATAGTTTTAGGGGAAAATAGTTGAATGGGACTGGCAGAACAAAAGTGGATGGGGGAAATATTCTCAGAGTTCCAAGTGGAAGAATTTAAGTGGGTAATCACTTCACTGTGCATCTTCCGTTGTTTGATATTTTGGAACCAAAGGAAATTCTACTTCCCATTCGATTAGTTTTACTCAGCTTGTAGCTGATCTTTACTATTGGATCATCAATATCTATCTAATTTGAGTTGGTAAAAAATGGTCATATTTATCTTTTCTTTTGAAGAACACACTGTTAAAAGGTTTTCGTAACAATTACATCATATAATTAGTCATGTAGATATCTACTTGTTGTGAATAACATCTATTAACCTGCATGCATTAGATACTTACTACTAAGATGCAGTCTCTTGGAGGTTTACCCTTCATCTATCAAACTGTTTGAGATGGGATTTGCGTAACCTTCTTCCCTATGTATGGAGATAAGATGTGACAGCCCAGCCCGCTAGTGGTATTGTCCGCTCTGGGCCTAAGTCCTCACAGGTTTAAAACGCGTCACTAGGGTCTAAAGCTTGTTAGCTTATACACCCAACATCCCTCTTATGTTTTGCCGATGTGGGGCTCTGTCTAAAGTCTGGAGTGTTACATAAGATAACACAAATTTTTTCTTTTTTTGCTTTTGTTTTGGGACAGAGGAAGGGATGCCCTTTCTTTGTTGCATTTGTAGATGACTTTTGGTATATTGCAACCTGATTCATTGGCTGGTGACTTTTTCTTGTATCATTAATTTCCTTAATGAGTTTAAAGATGAAATAACTTGGAAGCACTAAAAGCTAGTGCTTACATTTTCTGAATGTTATACAGATTCCTTGATTGTATCTTTGCGACAAGGTTTGGGAGTTTACAAGTCATGATTTTGTAACAGAATCTACATTTGGTGTTGCATCAGGTTGGGAGGTTCATGGTTACTAAGCAAGCAGCCAAGCACTAACCAGCCCAGAGGCTATCTTTTCTATTTCGAATAAAGGAGACCTTGAGGTTCCTAGGACCTTCTAGAGCTATTTGGTTGAACTGACATCTTAAGATTGATGCACAATGTTATATAGATTTGATAGGTTATAAGCTGAAAAAGCTATCGTATATTGTGACCATGGGTTAGTTTTCCATCCAGTAAGACCAGTTTGTACTTTTTTCTTTAAATTATTTAGGCTCCAGTTGGTTTGAGATTATCATGACAAGGTTCACACAGTGACAGAAAGCTTCTATTCACATTTCAAGTCAAAGAATTTAGGAGTGATGATGTTTTCTTGGTTGGACCCTTTGCCATTATGCATGAGGAAATTTTGAGTATGTCATATTTTTGTTTATGATGACTATCTGTTTAACTCAAGTAGATAGCGCTTAAGCGTATATTTGATTGTGGATGAATTTGTAGTTTCTTGCATCCCGCTATCATCTTGTGGTTGAGATTATATAGCTGCCAACGCCATGCTAACAATTCTTTTCATGGTATATTGGTATTCCAACTCAGTGTATCAACAATCTGCAGCTCCCACATTATATCGAAGCAATTAAGAACGATGGGTTGTCTCCGGATTTTCAACTATATTATGAGCACCAAATAGAAATCATTGGTTGTTTAATTTGATTAGATGGTCGAAATGGTTCGCAAGGTTTACTACATAAATGCAAGATGGTGCGGCGTAGCGGAGGGTAGGGGCATGCTACTGAAAATTTTAAGGGAAATCATTACAACAGCACGAACAATATCTTGTTTTTGCCCAATTGTCATAATGGCAAAACTAAAAGATGCCGGAAAAAGAACATCTCACCACACGCAAATTGGAAGTGTGATCGTGAAACTATAAACTTAGCTAGCGTTTGGCCATAGATCCTAAATTTATTTTGAAAAATTTGATTTGGGTGAAGTTTGGTTGAAGATGAAAATGTGTTTGGACATACGTTTTCAAAACATATTTTCCAACTTTATTTTGAAAAAACATATATATAATTTCCAAGTTTTGGGATTTTGGCCCAAAATCAGCTCAATAGCTGATTTGGGATTTGGCCAAAATATGGGCAAAATTTATGGCCAAACATGAGTTTTGAAAATAAATCCAAATTTATTTTGGCAAAACTCATGGCCAAACGGGGCCTTAAATTTGCTCCTGTTTGGCCATACATTTTGGCCTCATATTTTAAAAAAAAAAATTGAAAACACTGTTTGTTTATGAAATATGATCATGTTTTGGGGAAAAAAAATCAAAAATTTTCAAGCTCCCAAATCCTGGTTTAGGGCAGGTTTTGGGTGAAAATTTTTCCTCCACTTATAAAACTTTAACTTTTCTTCAAATAAAATGCATGTCCAAACACAACTTCAACTTTCAAAAATTATTTTTTAACATAATTTCAAAAACTCTTTTTTCAAATTTTAATCAAATCTATGTCCAAACGCTAACTTTGATTTGGAACAAATGAGTCGAGCTTTTGGATGATGTTACTCTCGCCTTCTAATCATACGAGCTTCGGCCAAACATAAACAAAGATAAACTTCTTACTTGTTCTGGTAATATCAGGGTTAAACATGCTAAGGTGATAATTGAAGGGGCAATAAGACATTTAAGAAAAGTTTAGGGACCATATTGTGCCTTTTTCCTACTGGATCATATGGTACAAAAGTCTAGGGCCTCTAGGCTATTAAATTCGTCTTTAGGCGTTCGACCATTTTCTTTGTTGCTGGTTATTGCATTTGGTTAAAGTTTGTATGTTATTTTATGTGACATAAAGTAGGAAGTAGAATATATGCATTAAAATAATTAAATAATAAAAATAATCATCCATACAGTCATAAATATTTTACTTTATTAAAAATAAATATATTTTAAACAGATAATTGCAGAGAGCTTTCACGTTTTGCTTTTCACACTGACCTTCCATGTGATGTGATTCACTATTACGCATACCTCCCTTACTTTGATTTTCTTTTAATTTTATTTTTTAATTACTAATTTTAAAAAGTACAAAAAATACCAAACTCTTTTAATTAATTAATTGTATTAATATCTTATGAAATGGAACTTGTTAAGAATAAAAAAACCCAAATCAAGACTCGTCACTGTATTTCTCTTCCACGTTCAGCGACAAGCCAGCTTCTCTGTAAAGGAAATCAATTTAGGTACTTTCCTACATATTTATGTTTCTTTGTCTCTCGTTAAAGGTTTAATTTAAAGTATGATAATTTATTTAAGGTTTTATGCAGAGATGGAAAAACACCAAACTTAGGACAACTACGACATCTAAATATCTTAATACTTCAAAATTTATCATAATAAAAGTATCAAGTCCTTCAGAATGCGATGTGTTGCCGGAAAATATGGTGTTACAGCGAAGCCCTTGTCATTTTCTGAAATATCTAAATTGTTTTTTTTTTCTACTATGCTTTACTGAAAAAGAAGTTTATTGATAAAAATGAATGGGAAAGGTCTTCAAACACTTGCATCCTAGGTGATATGTACTTATGATTTACATTATAATTGTTTGCCTAATTGTTTTATATTTATATATTGATTTCTAAAAGATTTTGCTTTTTAGCTAATTAACAGTGGAGTATATTAGCAAGGGTAAAGTTTTTTTTTTTTTTTTTAACTTTAATAATTAATAAGTAAAAGAATTATTTGAATAATTAAAATGAGGGGGGGTATGGTGTAATATTATGAACCACATGGGAGGTCAGTATGATGAAGCAAAACCTGAAGGGAGGTGTCTAAAATTATCGTTTTTAAAATATGCATAGTATGATAATCTTTTGTGCAAATCCAATAGTAATACTTAATTCCTACTCCTTCCGGTCCACTTTAATTGATTTTTTTTTTGTATTTTTTTGTGGCTCATAATATTTGATTTTTTTGATTTTTATCAAGAAGGAGTTATTTCTTTTTTTTTAAAAGTTGTCCTTGGAGTAAAGAGTCTAGAAGTATTTATTATATTTTCAATGAACAAATTAAAGGTTAATATGGTCAATTTTATTGTTAATTAGTACTAAAAGATGGATTTTATAATATATGTAAAAATAACCAAAAAATTAATTAAAGTGGACCAGAGAAAGTATATTACAATGCTTGTATTATAAAGTTTGCATTACAATTCATGCATTATTGATCTCTATGCTACAATCCATACTTACGTATTTCTAAATTAAATGAAACCTGGGTGTTTAATATAAAAAAAATGTTGGTAGTTGTAATACATGTTTTGGCTTTTAAATTTCCACAATTACTGAGCAGGCGCAAGCTGCGGACACGTCAGGCGTCACTGGAGCTTAATACGACGCCGCTTAGTTTGCATAGGAAGTTCCATTTAATTTTTGCCAGCTGCAAAAAGTAAAAGGCGAAAAGAAAAAGAGTGTTGGGGGAGAGGGGAAGCCAACGCTAGGCGAAGCCATGAAAAAGATGGCAGGTTTGGCGTCGGCAGACTGGCAGTGGGAAAACGCCACCGCCGGCGCCGTGGCTGGCCTCGCCACCGTCACTTTCTCTCATCCCCTTGACGTTGTTCGTACCAGGTTCCAAGGTAGTTGTCTCTATGATTTTTATGCTATATAGCAAAATGTATGATCTCGTGTTGTAATTTCGACCTTGATTTTGACGTAAATGTTAACATCATAGTTTACGATGGAAGAATCTCGAACGTCCCGGCTTATAGGAACACTCCTCAAGCTTTATTTACCATTGCTCGAACTGAGGTTTGTTTTTCTGTATTTTATAATTTCCCTGCATATATTGAAGCTTAGCTATATATGTATTGCTACTATTCCAAAAGAAACTGCTTTTCAATTCATCAAGTTGGTAGTTTTTCATGAAAGACGAATCGTATAGTAATATGTCAAGGATGCATGTTTCATGAATTTTGAGCTTCTCAAATAGGTAATATCAGCATCGGGAAAATAATTGGTACATGGTTTAGTGTTGGGATTGTTACAAATAGCCAGCTAGATTCAATGTTTACTTTTTCTAGCCGGTATACATAGATTATATATTGATTATACACAGTTATTCATATATTATACATGAATTATATGTATATTATACATTCGATGGCTATTTTTAGTTTAAGAGAATAAGTGGACGGCTATTTGGGTTAATTCTTCTTCTTTTGAGTGAATGCTCTGACCTAGGTGTATCTAAATGGCATGTTTTCAGCAAGTATCCTTCTATGGCGAAATGAGGTCATGTTTGTGTGGACCCTAGTACTACTGACTGATACCTATGGAGTTTTATGTTTGCTTTCCTGAATTCTCCACATTATGATATCAGATCTACGGTAGCAATACTCATTTTATCTCTCAAGAATCTTCTTGGAACCGAGAGGAAGTGTATCCTAATAGAGTTTGTACATTGCTACTCCAACTAGAAAGACAGGTTTTCTAATAAAGATGGTTAATTTCTTTACTTGAATGTCAAGAGGGGAGTGAGATGTCAGTATGCAAATCTTGACTGAATGCTTTCTTGTTACTTAGAGTTGATTCATTCAGCCTCATGACATAATCATAGGGAGAAACTCCATCACACTTTGTCAATCACAATCAAACATCCTGCTGGCGTATGCTTGTGTATATGGAGCTCCTTTCCTTGCTTCCCACTTTTGAGTTTTGTGCTGCAGACTGCCGAATCCTTACCTTATTACCCATATAAGTGCTCATGTTTCCACCAAGATGATTTCATTAAGTTATCATGTTGTCTGTGCTGCAGGGTCTTAGAGGACTTTATGCTGGCTTTTACCCTGCTGTTCTTGGGTCAACTATTTCATGGGGTTTATATTTCTTCTTGTAAGTACAGATCTTCTGTTGATGTCCTTGATAATAGTAGTACTATTTTATAGTATTTCATTGGAGAACGTTAAAGACTGAACTTCATTTCCCAGATCCCAAAAGCATCTTTGGAATCAATTATGTGATAATATAATTTATTTTCATGTTTTAGCTCTCTTCCTATCCGCAAGAAGGCTGCTCTCCGTCAGTTTATCTTTTTTTCCCTTGTGAAGTCTTTGCTCCACGCAAGTTGTATCCATGAGTACATGGAACACTATTTTGTCTCATTCAAGACCTGATCAAGGGATTTTCCCTTTTTACTTTTGGTCTATGTTATTATATTTATTTGGGTTCCCCGTTGTAAAGCCATCAGAAAGAGACAAGAAATCAAAATATAGCAAAAGAACAAATCTATTTGATGGAGCTTCTTACTATACCTATGAATTCCATTGCACGTCGAAATATACATTGGAAGATCCCATTAGGTCATTGATTGTTTCACTTGAATCTTTTATAGTCAATTTTAATGATTGACAAGCTGTAAGTGTTATTTTGTTTACATAATCCATTTATTAAAAGAAAGTTGATTGTCTTAACATACTGTTTACTTTACTGTTTTTGATACTGAATTTACAGCGCTTAATATTAATATCTACATCCATTACATGTCAGTTAATAGGTAACAATCATTATTTCATACATGGGATTGCTTGTAAGAGACACAATGTTCGCCTTGTAAGAAGCAGTCAACATTTAGGTTGCTTTCTCTTTGATTTTTTTTTTAATAAGGTAAAAGTTTATTTATAAGGTACCAAGATGGTACAAAATGATACTGCTTTCTCTTTGATTCTTCTTACATGTCTACGCTTGCCAAAAAATGGAAGAAAAAAACATGTCTAGGCTTGAGAGACATCTTTCTCAAACTCATACATTTGAAATTTCCCTCTCATAGCTATAGCAAGGCTAAGCAAAGGTATCTGAGAAGCAGGGAGGAGCTGAGTCCCGGCCTTCATCTTGCTTCAGCTGCAGAAGCAGGAGCTCTGGTCAGTAGTCAGATTTCTGATGCTTTAATGAATGTGTAGTTCATGTGTTTAGATGTTCAGCATTTAATTAGTCAGTTTTTGGAAGGAGTGTCAAATATAGATAGTTGGAGGATGCGATTCTTTATTTGCTGTAGTAGTCCTTGTAGGAGTGCAATTGTAGTTGTCTTGCTGGTAATGAATCCCTTACTTTTACTGTTGTTAGAAGTGTTACCAATGTAAATTCTTTTTCTCAAATAAAGGCATGGTTGAGTAACAAACCTATTGTTTTGGACTCGAAAAAAAGAAGAAAAAAAAGGAGGTGTTCCCATCAATTGTTGGCAAACCACAAATGTCTGTGCTTAGGTGTTAGTTAAATAATGGAGCTGGAAAATCTTATAGACAAAAAAATTTGATTGTGTTGATCTTTTTGAGGACTATCTTTCCCCCCTTTCAGTTTTGATATCAACAGATTGATGACTTATTAGGTTTACCACTGACATGAAAATCTTTAGGTGGACAAAATCTGTGGCATGCTTATTTAAGTAACTGTAACCTGACCCCCCCCCCCCCCCAAATATGCAGACTATGTCATATTTTAAAAAGTGTATTTGTCTGAATTCAGGTCAGTTTGTGTACCAACCCTCTTTGGCTTGTGAAAACAAGATTGCAACTTCAGACTCCTAATCAGATTCATCCATACACCGGGTTTCATGGTTTGCTTCACTCTTGTATTAACTTGCCACCATCGTGTTTCATTGTGTATTTGTCTAACTTTGAGCACTCTAGGACAACTTCTTTCCATCTTAATTTAATATAAGAGTTGCTTCCTCTATTTCTGCAATTTTGCAGTTCTACAGTTTTGCATCCTGTTTTTAATTTTTTTTTTTATCAGACATCAGCCACGAAATTAACATGTATCTGGAATTCTGTAATAGCTTTTTGCTGTCCACAATAGCAAGATTCTTGTATGTCAAGAATGGACTTACCTATGGAAAGTTGGAAACTTATTCTTGATCACTATGTACAATTCTTTGTTTTTTAGATAGTTTCATTTCTTTTCTGGTAATTTTTTTCTAATAGTTAAAATTGACAAAACTCCTCTTTATAAAAAAAGAAAAAATTTGATAAAGCTCCTTTATCTCAGTACAGTAGTTGCATCTTGTGTCAATATCTCCTTCAAGGGTTTTAAATGTTGATTATGTAACTTCTAGTCATTGACCTGGAAAAATGAAGAAGTGCTTTCTACTGATTGAATTCTAAAATTTAAATATTTCTCGTGACTAGCAACATTCTTTTATAAAGCCTCTGCTCTCTTTTGTATCTGCATGCACATTCAGTCAGCCAACTGGCCTCTTTTGCATCTACTATCCTACTTATTAACTTCATATGAACGTTGTTGTTTATGGATTGATTCAGATGCTGTAAGAACCATAATGAAAGAAGAAGGATGGAGGGCACTTTATAAGGGGCTTATGCCAGGCCTATTTCTGGTTAGAATTACATTTTCTTTTATTCTTGCACATAGTCTCTCTGCAGTTCTGTAAATGAATGTGTTCTTATCTTGACGTAAATTTTCAAAATTATACCTCATAGCTTCTTTTAACTTTTTGGATAGATTACCCAAACAAGATATAACCAATTTAATGTTGAAATGTAACCTTCCATTCATGAAACACGCTGGTTTGCTATTGCTTCAGCAGGTTACACATGGCGCTATTCAGTTCACAGCATATGAAGAATTTCGTAAAGTTCTTGTTAGCTCGAAAGCTCAGGAACATGAAAACACTCTTGCCTCAGCTGCTGACTTGTTGGTGAGGCTCTAAAAGCTATGCTATTGCTTTCTTTGGATGTAATTTACAACTGAATAGTTGTTTTTATCTTTGGATGACCAGCAAACCTGATCCCTGTATCTAAACACTGTCCAACTCTTAGTAGTGCGAGTTTCTATCCTCATTATTTGGTCATGGTACTTGTGCACAAACATTAAGTTGGTGCTCTAGGAAATCCTGTTCGCGCAAAAACTTTCAAACATTTTCTCATTGAGCGACTAAGGTATCATTTCTATTTCATGTCTACGGATTATCCAAAGGCACATTAGATTTATTTTTCAGTCCCTAAATGACTGCATCAGAGTGACACTAGCCTGACCAACCCCTTCCCCTTCCCCGTTAAAAAGATAAATTTACAACAACAACATACCCAGTGTAATCCCACTAGTGAGGTATGGGGAGGGTGATGTGTACATAGATCTTACCCCAACTACTAGAAGAAAGTAAATTTTGTTTGATAAGCAGATCAGAATGAAGAATGATTCAGTTATTTTTTAAACTGACTTTGTGGTTCTTGTTATTATTTATGTGGTGAGAGATGGTTTATTTTAAGCCAGTGAACTGCCACTTGTTGATCAATTTGTAGAAACCAACTGCTCCTAAGTGGTGATATACTGCATTTTTTGTCTGAAAGCAAGGAGACTTCATTAAGGCTCAAAGTAAATGGAGAAAAATTGGTTGCACCATATCTGGAGGCTGATCATTACTCAAGAACACTATCAGATGCCAGTGATATTGTGATCACTGTTATGATTAGTTTTCTTCGTCGGAAAACATGAGGAATAAAATAGGATTCTAACTTCTCTTGATTGTCTTGAAGTAATACTGTAGACTTGCCCCTTAGTATTTGCTCTTCAATTTCTTTCGCAGGATTCAGTTGACTATGCAACACTAGGAGCTTCTTCCAAGCTGGCAGCAATTCTCACAACATACCCATTTCAGGTATGTTAGGGGTGTGATAAGTTTGTTCTTATCTCTGTTGTTGGGGATATGGGTTTGGGAACAGAAGGTTTTGAGAGCATTGTGGAGCACTCACCTAAAGCTGCATATTTGTTCCAACAATCTTTTACCCTGTGTCCCTTACTTTTCTCTTTATCTAATTATGTGTTTAAATGGAACTTTTGCAGGTTGTACGATCTCGATTGCAGGTAACTGCTTTTCATATTACTATTGTGGCACTTGATGCAACTCTTCCGGAGGAGACGAGCATCTACTGGCTCTTGATTTTGATTTTCTGTAAAGTAGTTAAAAGGTCTATCTTCTCTTTGAACAGCAACGACCAAGTACAACTGGAGTTCCGAGATACATGGATAGCTGGCATGTTGTGAAGGAAACTGCAAGGTCAGGATAAATTTCAGCCTTATTTACTGCTGATGCACTTGATTGGCATCAAACATTGAGTTGCTTTATATTGAGCTGTGTTCAGAATTTAAATATCTGTTCATCGAATGCTCTTAATTGTGGCTTTCAGTATCAGGGAATCAAACTGAGAATAAACAAAAGCCAAAGAAATTATCATTCCTTTTATTTATTTTTCTACACTGACACCGTAATTCTTTTTTAAGACCGTTAAGTTTAGTAAAAAGAGATGCATGGGAAGCAAATTACATGTTTCAAGTTTTTGAAGTCCTCTCTCAATCCTTATTTTCTCCATCCTGTTTCTTCCCATCATCTAATAACATGCAATAAAGATCGTCTACATTGTAAAATAAGAGAAGAAAGTAGAACCCCCTTTATTGGCAAAATTCCTTAATTTTTCCCCTCTTGTTCTTTTCTTTCGTATTGTGGAAACAGGTAAACAAATTATATGAAATTTGAGTGAACTTTCATCATTTAGTTATTGAAGAATTTGTAAATTATACATTTGATTGTTTCTTATCACCAACAGAAGAAAAAAAAAAGGGAATTATACAGTTGATTGTTGGAAATTTTGTGATTTCTTGATGTCAACTGCAGGAAGAAAAATTCAGACCTTGAAAGATAAAACACAAACTCAACTTCAAGAAAGAAATCTAAAAGTTTGTCATGATTTAAGGAGGTAGTTACTTCATAAAAGAAACAAAAATAGACTTATGCCACATTAGAGTAAGTTCAACCTTGGAAGAAGGTATAGTTCCTCTCAAAAATATGTATCCCTTATTGAATCTTCTTGGTGTAAATTGGAATGGTAGATGGTAGTGAAACCCTGTTATAGTTCATTAAATCTTATGTATAGATAGTCAGTATTTTTCTCCTTCTTAAAAGCTCCTTTTGCTATCTTTTTGGATGTAATTACAACACTTACTTAGTGTTGGCTTCTGACATCAATAATACTTGCTATTTCAAGTAAAAATTTTATTACCATATTCTTTATTAAAATAAAATAAATAAATTTGCTAATTACCCTTATGTCTTAGTCTTAATCCACGTCACCAAGTTAGCACCCACTTGTGTAAAATGTCTGCACTTAATAGTGTAAAATATAAACTACTTTTTTTCAAAAATCTAGTAAAGCAATGCAGTTTCATGCTAGGGGTTTTGAAGAGTCAATCCTGAATTCTTATGAAGATCTTCACGACTTATAATACTAGAGAAACGACTAAATTTTCTGTCATATCATGTATCAATGGAGTTCTAGTTGTTACCAGATATTGAAATTTTTTTATCTTGCAGGTTTGAGGGCATACAAGGCTTCTACAGAGGTATCACCGCGAACATGCTGAAAAATGTCCCTGCAGCTTCCATTACGTTCATCGTCTATGAGAACGTACTAAACCTGCTAAAATTGTCTAGGAGAGAGTATTAGCTCTTTTACCTCCCGTTCTTGTTGTAGCATTAGGATTCTACACTAGTGAAATATTTTGGGAAAAAGGTATACTCAGATTTGAGAGGAGTACCAATAGATTCATGATACCACTTTACTGGTAGGCGCACTTGTATAATATTTAGAGTCTTTGTAATTTATCAGAAAAGAAATAATCTTCAGTCTTTGTTCAAGTACCCACGAGACTGCTGCTGTAGCAAGAATAATAGCAGATCTATGCTTTGACATTCAATAATACTGATCTTTGTTACTTAAATGCATGTTCGTGGTTGTTTGAAAGGGAGACTTGAAGAGATGTATCAGAGTTTGCTCTCTCCCTTGATTTTTGTTCTTGTTTTCTTTTATTTGCTACTATTTCATTCAGCATTCAGCAATATTGATGCCTTGTAATTTTTAACGAGGAAGAAAGTTCTAGTTGCACTTGCATTGTACATGCTACCAACTACTTGAAGAAAAAAAAGGTGTCGAGGAATGAACAGAAGTGAAATCCAATTCTGAGTGTAATGGGAGTAATTTCCGACCAACATCAAAACTACACTTGCCAGTTCTCTAATTTGATTTTCTTGGATTCTGATTAAATTTTCGTAATTGGTTAAGTGCCAGTTTGAAAAGCTTCATCGATAGAATTAGACAGCCTTCTATTGATTCCTGGAAGATTTTAGATATGTGACTACATTGGCAAAGACAAGTACTTGATGGATGTTTTAGCAACTTGGCAAATTGATGTGAGAGGGTTTAGGAGATGTCTTATCATGTGACATCAACCTAATCATATACTATTAATTTGCTTAGAGATGTGTATTTTTGCGAGTACAATTTACAAATAAGTAGATGATCAAATAATTCAGATTTCAGATGAGTTTCTGCGGCAATAACTCATCGCATGATCGCATATTAGGATATCAAGATGTAGGAGTCGACCTCTATATTTGACAAAAGTGGGTCAGCATACTTGCTACTTCAGGCCCATCTACTAGAATGCTGAAGTTTTGCGTGATTGCCTTTGCTACTTCAGCCCGTATGTTGAAGTTACGCGAAAAAGTGGGTACGCTTGCACTTTTATTTGCAAAGCGGGCACAAGTTAAAACGTGACCCAAAAAGCGGGTATAGATGCAAATGTCCCCAGAAGTGGTATATGTTATAGCTGTCCTTTTTTCTTCTTTTACCAACGATTTATATCTGATCTAGCTTATGCTCACCTCAACTATTTCATTGAGAACTTGCTACCTCCCACTAACACATGTACCGGACTGAGAAGAAATAACCTAATATTTTTTTGTCTCTACTGAGATTTGAAACCTAATCTCCCATGATTTTTACTCGCTTGCATTAATAGGCCATACCGTTGGGTGCATGTCTTATTACAAACTACCTATGAGAAAAGGAGTGGAGGGTCCAAGAAACTAGAAACCTTCCTAGTATTATTTACCAGATATTACTCAGCAGGCTAACAAGGAAAAAAACTCACCAGCCAGACAAAGAAAAAGTGCAAACTTGTTTAAACGCCAGAAGATAATTCTTCATGAGGTATCAATTAGGCTGTAGTGTATTTGATAAGAGTACATAATCTTGCACAAGTAGCTCAAAAGGAAAATCAGTCTCATTTACAAATACTGGACAGTAAAGGCCAATTTCCTGCACATAAGTTTTGTGCTGACACTGACCATGGATATTTAGAAGTGTTTGACATTAGCTTTTGATTTTAAGTAAGCAAATGCAGCAATGTTGCCTCAGGGGTCAGATGGACACCCATCACACCTTATCATCATGGAACCACCACCTGGTTTCCTTGGGAGATCTGCCATTTCTACAGTTCTTCACGTAGCGGTCATTATCTTCAGGGCGTTGCTGCACAAGTGACGGGAACCGATAAGAATTAAAACTAAGATAAAGCACGAAAAGCCCATCGGAACAACGTGGTAGATTACATATTTTCTCAGAGGACAAGACAAGAAATAGGTCCATACATATTTAAAACAGCAGGCCTTATTAGCATGGCGCAATCTCATAATAGCAACTCAAATTAATATTATAAGGAACACAGGAAACGCACCTTCACAGTTGAACTTGACAGCATGGAGAGAATGCTGATGCATATAGAACTGACTGTCATGGCAGGAGACCATGAATCATACAAAATATCTGCAAAGACATGAAGAAGCTGTTGTCAACTGCTGCTTTTACTGATGCATCTCCAATTTCTATCAGGTGTAGAAGAATCTTTCAGGGGATGGAAGCTTAGCGCTAGGCCGCTAGCACACCAATTAGTGAACTGCCCATCGAACTTTAAGTTTTCACCCGCAGAAAAAAAAGAGACTGCTATTTAACAGCATAGCAGGAGAAACTACAGAAACAAAAACTAAAGATGGTATTTCAAAGTTTTCCACCTCTACGCCTTACGAGTCCAAAGGTCACTTAAGTAAGGTGTTATGTGAACGTGATTTCTGCAAACCCACATTAGAGGAAGAAACTAGTAATAAAAAATAAAAAATATATATAAAAAACTGAAGAATATGATTTCTGTGAATACTGACCAGCGCATTCGAAGAACCTTTCAGTTTGAATAGGGTCATAGTCATACAGATAAGACAACGAGCTCACAGGCTATGTACACAAAAGAATTCAGATTCACTCTTATTTGTTACACAAATAGATTTAACTTAAAGGTGAAAAGTGCTAATAGATATTGAAGTTTATTTGGTACAAAATTTAGTTTCAGGAAAGAAAACTTCAGCCTTAACCAAGAAATTTAGTTAACAAATACACAAGGAAGTTCAATTTTAGAAAGAACAGATGAAATATAAGTTATTCTCATGATGATTCAGTTCCAACAAAATGAAACATTCACCAAATGACCAATTCTTTCTGGTCTTAGTTGGAACAAATTTTGGATTAATTGAATTTCACAAAGAATCTGCGAGCAGATTGCCACTAATGACATAGGTGGACTCTTGGTTTCTGCAGATGCACCCAAGTCAAACAAACAGGGCATGGATATGAGCACTTTTCACGCATCTTACAGAACACCGGATACCAGCAAGAGATTGATAGCGGATGCTAGCATATCTGGTACTCGTGCCGATGCCGACATAGTATAGGTTATGAAGGTTAAACCTCCAATGCCAGGTTTTATATACTCTGTAAGCCGAAATTCAATGTGTGTGCATTAATGTTCCAACCCCTCCAAAAAGATTAGCATTTAGTGCTATTTAGTTGAGATAAGAATAGCATCTCCTCTGTTGCGTACATACGACTTTTACAACACATTGTAACGATGTCATTATGGTAAAAAATAATCTTACTATTTTGGAAGATTCTCATAAAATACTTCAAAAATTGATACGGCACCGTAAGTTACTGAAATCACTATTTCAAGCAAGACGATGGCCAAAATATTTTACCAGAAAAGATAACAAAATATAGTAAATAACAAAACATTCATCTCCATCAGTCCAGAAACAGTATGTCATTTTCAATGCCAACCAGTCATCTTTCAGTTACTCAAACTTATCAAAATCATTGTTTAGTCATTATAACCAAGCTGGCAAACCTGGCCATTCATTGCTACACGAATTCAATCTATCATGCCGAACTTTAACAAAGCACTGACACCTCTTAATTTGTCCAACGACCAAACTGCTCACATCCCGATTCAAAAATGCTAATTAGCTAGCTTTATTTCTGATAATTACCGATGCTATAAACAGCTCATTCGCCTAACATGCAACTCCATCTAGGAGGAAGGAAGAGATTTGATGGAAATCATGATATGCTAGTAAGCACAGAGTACGTAACTTGGTTCCGAACGAGAATGAATGATGTGTAATATACCATTACACAAAGAGCCAAAAACAGTGATGTTTCATGGGATATCGTCATGAATAGACCAACTTTAAGTTCACATGGCTCTTCGGCAACTACGCAAGTATGAAAAAGATTTACCACAATTGTGCCATGCAAAAGTAGAAACTGAAGAGGCATATTAATTTCGAAAAACCACTTACTTTTGGCAGATTAAGGGATCGCTTCTGTAGAATGGTGCTACTATGCTTTTATTTATCAGGAGACAAAGGAAAAGTCAAATCTAATTCAGAATAGAAAGTAACGCGTACGGCTTTTGTGTTGTACTTATGTTGAAACAAGACCGTAGCGTGGACCCAAAAACGGACAAAATGCAGATGCAATGCTTATTCTACTCGTGCAAGAGTAGAATGGACCCAAAAACGGACAAAATGCAGATGCAGTGCTTATTCTACTTGTGCAAGAGTAGGGTTTATATGCGGTCGGTTTTATTATGTTTTGGGTTTTTTCCTTTTTTATAACAGTGGTTCCGGACCAGCTTGTGCACCTCGACTAATTTCACCGGACCTGCTACCTCCCACCTAATTCTGTCCACCAAGGCTTAGAAAGATGGGAAGAAATAACCTAGTGTTTCAGTCTGTGGATAGGCAAATCCATCATCGTCCAGTTTTGCTTGGTTTTTCTCTTTCCGGTTTGGGCCTTTTATCGGCTTCTAATTTCCTTTACTTTGGGCTTCTTATCTGCTACCATCTTAATTTTCCCTTGCACACCCTATCTGTAGTGATCGTTCACATCAACCTCCAATTCCACAAGTAGGTTGTTGACTAGGAGCAGTTTAATGCTTCTAGGCTCTATCCATTATAAGGTATATGAATATGAGATGCTTATTCAGATATCAATGTCTCTATCGGGCTTGTGATATTAGGGGACGGTAAAATTAAGGATCAATCTGTCAATTTCCAAATGTTGTGTACCCAACAAGAAACAGAAAAAGGTTCTGATTAGTTACTCAACCTTTTAATTTAAAGCACACAGACCTCCTAATCTCATATGAGAGCCAGTATACTTAACAAATGAAAGCAACTTCAAGCTTTAAACCACATTTTATTGATGATTCAAGCTTCATATAACCAGAATTATTTAATCAGCTAAGTCTCACCTTTTTCAAGTGATCTTAGTAAATTTCCACACGATGTCTCAAATTTTGTTTTAAGTTTTTAAAACTGATAACCAAACCAGAGAACCTCAGTTTCATAAATGTTTCGAAAATAAGAATGTAATGATTGTTATCTTTGGTAGTGATACATCTTTAAAGAAGGGATCTTGTCAACTTTACAAACCCATGATACTTAATAAAATGAAGCCACCTGAAGCTTAGACAACCTCTTGATGGTCATCTAAGTTGCGCAGACTAATCGGTTTTGGTGCAGTCCCCATCCCGATACGAGACGGGGACGGGAGCGGGAGCGGGATACGTCCCGG